ACCACTTAGGTTCCATTATTAATAGTTTACTGTATTAGTCGTATACATCTATCCATCTGTAAATTCATTTTAATTTGGTGCATTTCAGGGTAACTACAAACATTACTACTCTGCAGTAAATAAAACTACTGGTTTTTAATTTCTGTTTTTGAATTTTTAGCAGGCTGGGCTGTGTCAGCTCACCTATATATAGATGATGTGGCTCTTCCTGTGCATGGTTTATCTTCCCAGTCCCTCTTCCCCAGGCATTTGAACATTGGCTCTTTAACTATAGTGGTGCTTAGCCTATTCACTTGAGTTCCTAGAACATGGAAAAGGGTATCTTTACAAATCCAATTATCTTCTACACTCTAGTATTTGAGGGGAGAAAAAAAGACCCTGCAAGTAGTATAGATGGGAGAGTGGAAAAAACTATTTTTCCCCCTAGAGATATAATAAATTTAGCCTGTGTCTACATTTCAGGGTTACTGTATGTCAGATTGACTTAACACAAACTTTATTTCACCTTTAACAACATAGGAGCTATAGAGAGTATAGATGGTAAGAGGCAGAAACTATAGTGAGGGAAGGTGGTAAGGAGTGAGGTAAAAGTTTTTAGCGGGCAAATGGATGGTATTTTCAAAATGAGAGATTACTTTACTAGGGTTTAAAATACAACTATTACTGCATGTAGTTTTTAAGCTTAAGGAACATGATCCAGCAGTATAATAACAAGCCTGTTAACGTGGCATTCTATTAAGGTTTGTTTTGCTTCCATTTTCACATGTCTTGTATTTACATTTAAGTTTTAATTAATGTTTTGACCATGTGTTTGGCCCTGAGATTTTGTGAAGGCTTTCATTTTTTAAATAAATTAAAAAGTGACATATTTAATATGTACTGGGCAAAAATATCCACCTTAACATCCCCAGAAATGAGATTTTGGTGCAATAAAATTTGATTTAAAACTTCATATGTATTGGTACCATACACAAAATACATTATTTTAGAGACTTGGGGAAAGGACATCAATTTGGGAAGAGCCAATGGAAGAAGTTAATTCTTGCCCCAGGTGTTGCCTAAAGAGGTGAAGGGAGAAGATGAGGCAAACATGAAGTGGACAACATTATGTAAGTTCTCTAGAAATGGCAGATGAATGAGCAAGTCTCTCAATGCCCAGTCCAAGAAGGCAGCTGCTGTTTTGTTTATCTTAGACAACACAAGAGCTAGTTCAACAAGAAAATGAAATAGAGGAAAAAGGCAGAGATCATAGTTTTAAATGCTCTTTGATTTTTAAAATGTGTAGGCTCCCTGAAATTTCTCTCACTGGAGAAAATTAAGTGTTCTTGTCTCAGAGGTAAGAGTGTGACCACCCTAGCCTTACTGCTTCAGTCCTTGGAGCCTGTATGACAGTGATGAGCTTTGGGCTCCACAGGTTATCTCAGTGATTAAGCCTGGCCTCTTGCACAAGAGCCAGGCAAATGCATCCGATTGTAGATTTAGGTTCATACACAGGAAGCTGTTTATAACAGCTACTTACCTACTGGTACAAGGTGAGTAAAAGTAAATGCTCATTACTTTCCATGTTGCCACTCATGTAACCTTGTAAGAATTTTCTATGGGCTAGTAAATTTTAGTACTTAACTATGAGGCTATTTTGCAACCAGGGAATAAAAAATGGCAATTATTCTACTAATGCTTAAATCAATATTTCATGCTTACATTTCTGTCTCCAAGATATTCAAATGGAAGTAGGCATTACACCAAGGACAGAGGAAAAGACATAATTTAGTAGAAAAGAATGGGAAAAGAACAACACTGTCCTTTTAACTAATGCTTTTAAAATGAGATATTTCAAGAAAAACCCACCAGAATGATGGCTTAATTGACCAGGAAAGATAGCTTCTTCTGTCCCTCTGTTTATGCATACTATTGTTTCAGCCCATGGTGTTTTGTTTACTTTGGAAGAAAATATTTTACCCCCTCTGAGATAATTAATTTTTGTCAGCTTCACTGTTTATAAGGGAAACTGAGAAACTGTTAATTGAAATACAGAATGAGTCACTGTTTTGAGCAATTTTTGGCAGCATTCTAATTTGTGTCAATCTCAGCCTAATTATTGAATTTTTTGGAAGTAGAAAGCATATTTGATTTTTCTCTTACTGATTTTTTTCTTCTTTTATAAAAAATACATATGTGCTGCCTGACAAAGTTTATATAATTTATATCAACATGAGGTGAAATACCTGTATGTTTGAAATACTAGGAGGTTTATTGTGTCATGCTTGGCTCCTCACAGTAGCTAAATATTTAGAAAACTCACAGAGTGTGGTCTTCCTCCTTTCCTCATTTCTACCCCAGCCCAACTAAAAAATGTGTTTCCTTTAAAGACCTTTTAGTGGGTATTAAGCCACAGTATATGGCCCATCACTAATGACACCAGTGAAATAAACTTCCCAGAAGTAATCAGGAAGAATTCATTTGGAAATCCAATTGGATGTCACTTGCAAAGGGCAGGCTCCTAAAAGAGGTAACCAGTCATGCATCCCAAAGTTATTTGTTGTAAAAGCATTAATCACCATGAACTCATTTTCCCTTAAAGCAAACACACTACATTGTTTCACAGGAATTCTGTTCCAAATGATCATTAATGTAGAGAGCAGAAGCTGCTGATTGTGGACAGGGTTAGTACAATCTGTCAGATCAATGGCCAGTGTAATGGTACTTTTAATAGTTGCTAATAGAAGTTGGATCTTTCCTGACTGTGGTAGAATGAAGGTGGATGGAGGGGCAGTGGCTTTGCTGAGCAGACAGCCCCATCTCTCACATCCTGAGGTGGCCTCTGGGTGAAAAGAGCATCCACGTCAGTCTCAGAACAGTGCCAGGGCTCCGAGGAGGCCATGGCTGGAAGCATAGGCACCAGCTGTGAGCTGAGGAGGGATGCATGGGATGGCTGGCCATGGGGACGTCTCTGCAACACACCCTACCTGCTTGTACACCACATTGTTCTGCAGGCTACGGGTCAGGGTGTGTCTGAGCACCAGGTACTGTGTACATCCCAGAACTTTGCCTTGCCCATTCCACATTGGGTCAGCAATGAGATGAAGGACAGTATCACAATAGGAGTGACAATCACAGCTACTGCTCATGAGAAGTCTCTTGAGCCAAGGAGCAGCCCTTTACGTACACTTACCTCAACTCTCAGAGCAGCACCCCTAAAACATGTGTATGATTTATTATCCCATTTCATATCTGAGGAAGCTGAAGCTCAGACAGATTCAGGAGCTAGCCCAAGGCCAGATTCGAAAGTGTGTGCTCTTAAACACCGTGTTCCTTTATTGGGGAGAGAGACAGAGAAGCTGTAGCCTAAAATCAAACCCAGAAAAGATGCCATGTATGGCAGTGGGGTCAGAGGTCTTTCTATTTGCATATTCAACTAGTCAGTATGTTCAGAGCCAACCTTGGACAAAGTGTATAAAAGGTATGGTTTGTCTGAAATCCTGTTTCTCTAGGCTTTGCTACTAAAATGTGGGTACTCAGGGCCTTTAAGAGGCCTAACTGCTCTGTGTTCCCAATAACAGCTTTAGTAGAGTCCCCCCAGGAGGCCCAGTAAATACTCTATACTTAAGGCTTGTTGCTTCTCATCCTACCCTTGCCATGTCAATACTTGTCTCATTTCCTGTCATGTAAGAATCCTGATCTCCTGAATGGCTGTACCTTAGCTAGGCCAGGCAAGGCCAGAGGAAGCTACCACCTCCTGGGGCTGGCTCTGAGCACAAGAACTGACAGCAAGGGCCATCCACAGCCAGTGCCCAGGGTTCCAGCAGCATGGCTGGGCATGGGAGCAGGGTGGCAAGGGCACTGTGATGTTCCTAAGTATTGAGTGACTTCCGTAGCCAAGGTGCTGACATAGCTGCCTCAGGGCTCAGGAGTGGGAAAGGGAATGGAGCTGGCAGGGAGAGGCTATGGATGCAAGAGAGATGAAAAAAGAATGACAGTTATAAATGTAAAAACTGTAAAATACATTATTTAGTATTCCCAGTAAGTGCAGAGTATGGCCGAAGTGCTCATTTAATATATTTAAAAAATGAAAGTACATTCACATAAACTCAAGTCACCTACCTTTCTCAGATCAGTTCCCATGACTAAGAGGGAAGCAGGCCTCAGTAGTCTTTCCATCTGAAAACACCACTATTACTAAAGGCTTATTTCCTTGATTACATTATTTTTTATAAAAGTAGTGTCAAGTGTTTGGAAGATGTGAGAAGGCAGATGGTGGTGAAGCAGAGGATGAAGCATAGAAGGAGTGGGGAGGACAGAGAGGGTTCTAGAGAGAGGCTCTCACACACACCACAGCACCGACCTCCCATCAACAGGATGGTTCCATAGGCCCAAGTGCAATGGAAACACAGAGACGGGCTAAGACGTGTTCTCTGACCCCCGAGATCTTACAAATGCACATCATAAGTGCTCAACTGCTGGCACAGGCTATAAATGCAATTGAATTGAATAAAAGATGTTAGCAAGAGGAAAATTCAGAGACAGCATCATGGAAGATTGCATAGGTTGTGAAGAGCATGGACCATGTGAATAAAGGGAGAGAAGACACATTTCACACAGTTGATGCATGAACAGAAGTCTGTCAGAAGGTGAAAGCAAGCATATTGGGTTCACATAAGGATGAAGGAAACAGCTTTGTTCCAGTGAAGGAGCGTGTGTGCGCACATTCATGTGTGTGTGCATGTGTGTTAGGAGAGGGAAGCAGCAGGCAGTAAGCAGAACAAGAGAGACAGAACTTTACAAAGAAACTTGGTAGCCAGACAAAGGAGTTTGGATCAATATGATAAGCAATAGAGAACCACTGTAGGTCCTTGGGCATCTGAAGGGCATGATCTCAGACAAGTTTTGGAAAGTTTCATCCAGTAGTTGTGGAAGAAGCTAGAGTGCTGGGGAAGAGAGAATGAAAAACACTAGGAAGCAAAGGTATCCTGATGTATCATTTGCCATCTTTTCTCCTCCAGCACACATTCATATTCCCCTTCTCACTGGTTGAAATCATCCTCAGGCCACACTGCTATCCAATGAAGAAGAAAGGACTCACCTTGTTGGCAGCTGCTAGCCTTGTTTACATTAGCAGGTAAGAATTGCTGAGAGAAAATCAACTTAGACTTGTACTTCAAGTCTCTGAGGAATATTCCAGAAAAATACTGTTCTGTTAGAGTGCCTTCATATTGAATTAATGGGGATTTTAGCCATCTTTAAATTTTGAGGTAAGAAGGACTTTTTTTTTTTTTTTTTGGTGCGCCATTCCTGGAAGTAGTGCAATACCAAGTGGATTCACAGAGTGGAGAAGCAAGCTCCTATTCCACCTCCTGGCTCCAAATATCCATTTAATATAATGTTCTCAGACACAGGGTGTGTCACGTATTAAACTGATAAGAACAGATCTTAAACTACACTTGATCTTAGCCAAAAGGCCAAGAAGCGATCAAGTAAGATTTTTATTGTTTGCTTTTGGTACACCTGGAAACATCACAGGCCAAAAAATGCACAGATGGGTACACAGCAAGGCCCAATTTCCTCTCTTTCTCATGCAGAACTCATCATTGCAAAGCTACACATGTTACTTCCCTCAAGAAAATGTTGATCTTTGGTTCCATTTCCAATTAGATATTTGAATAGCTGAATGATCCAAGGCATCTAAATATATTCCTTTTAAAAAGGCATTTGACAGGTTGAACATGATAGATTTGGCCCATTCCTGTTGCCTATATCATTATGGGTTTATTTGTATCAACATCTGGCACTAGAGCTCCTAAAGGGCATTTGGGCAATTGCCCAGGGGCCTGCAGAACAGGTAACAGGGTGCATGCAAGATCATTTTAGCAGCTGGTCTAGATTTTATCATTCAACCACCTGGTGACACTAATTGTCAGACATACTGCCCAGAGAGTGGAAAGCCCCTTTCCATTCTACAGCCTTCTTATTTACTCCGTGCTTTTGCTTTACTGAAAGATGCATGCCAAGCATAATGCCTACAGATCAGAAGCTAATCATGATGTTCTTTCTGTAGTCTAGACTCACATAAACTGTTCATATCTGACAATCTTGGTAATCCCCCAATCACTATGTGGGGGAATGTCTAACTAGGTACAGTACTCTGACAGAAGCCAGGTAGAGAACACATCCAAAGGGGCTTGGGCTCCAAGTGCCCACTCCATGGGCTTCATGAGCTTTTGTCTTAGAGCAACTAACCTTTGTGCCAGAACTCAGATGATGGTTTCTTCCTAGTGTTTCCTTCCCTTATGGGAAGCCTGCTCCTCCGTCTCTTCTGTGCTCCTCTTTCCCTGAGTGCCCAAAGTCTTTCTTGCTTCTCCTGTCTTAAGAAAAGTATTGCCCAGTAAATCTACCCCAAGATCCTAGTGATCTACACTGTTTTCCATCCTGGAGCCTTTGCATTTTAACAAATGTCATTTTAGACAATAAGGCTTATATTGGGAACCTACTGGTAATTGATATCTGGAGCACTGTGTTGGGAAGGACTCTGAGGTTCTACCAAAACAGAGTTGTGTTGTCTTTTAGCAATATCTGCCAATAGCATGAACATGGGGAGTAGCAGGATATGTGCCACATATATTTGCTAAGTCTGGCTTAACCAAAGAAATAAGTCTCTAAAGACGGAATACCTGGGATGGGGTGGGGAGAAGAAGGGTGGTAGCTGGTTAATTATGTACATGAATTTCCATACTACAATTGTTTTGTTTTGTTTTTCTGGTGGACCTTAATCTTATTTAGTCTTTCTTGCCAAGTGTGACTTTTGGAGTTTATATAGAAGAGAGTACTTTTGATCTATTATCTTTTTCTACCTAAAGACTTGGAAGTTGATCATTGATCTTCAGATCTGATCTCTGTTCTCTTTCTCCTCAGTAACCAACAAGGCACAAGAACACTCAAGTCCACTGGCACTTGGGGGGAAATTGTAGCAGCCCTAAAAGATGAGAAACAGTGGTTGAGAGGGTTTAACTTGTCAGTGCCTGATCGTGTGTTCTGACAATACAGAGAACTGGGTGGCTGGGGAGAAGAAGTGCAACAAGATGGGGTCAGGTGTAAGTACATGATATTCACATTTAATTATATTCACAGTGCCAAACACTCTGCTAAGATCCCAAGGATATAGCAATATACACAGTCCCATGCTACTTTCTGGGACTATCTGGGAGAGAGGAAAATATGCACACAATGGGAAGACAGGATGATGAGACTGTTAAAGGGGTAAACACAGGGTGCTGGGGGCTGCTGAGGACTGGCTTCTTAAGGAAGTAATGTCTAAGCTGAGACCCAAAGACTAATTAGGAATAAGTCAAAAGAGACATGGATGAGACCTTCAGGCTTAGGGATCAGCATCTGTGAAGGGCTGGAGGAGCTGAGTGTATGGCTGAATTGTGGGACATGGAAAAGCTAGATCATGAATTCACATTAATGAGTTTGGACTTTTAAACTGAGGGATTTTCTATGGGGAAGTTTTAAGCAGAGGAATGAAATGATGTGGCTTATGTAAGAAATATGATTAAAAAGTTGATTTTGGTCTAAGTGTGAAAGTTAAAGAGGAAAAAGATGAGGAGAACAGTAGTAGCACTTGTGAGACCTGTTGTTAGCCCACTGATCAAAGTATCAGTCAATTTCAGGTAGAATTATAGAAGGTGAGTCAGAGAAGGAGACTAAGAGATCATCTAGCACTGGAGACCTGAGACCTCAGTGGGTTAAATGACATGTCCAAGGTCATATAGCCAGGAAAATGAAAGCTGGGACTTAAATGCATTTCTATTTCCAAATCCAGTTCTCTTTCTACTCTATTCACATGGCCAGGTATATTTTCAGTTCACTGCATGTGCAAAACATATTCTGCTAAGTGCTGGAGGAGTTGGGTATGCAAAAAAGCTTAACATGGTCCCTGTTATCTAAAAGCTTTCAGGATGCTGTATCCAGAGCTGTGCTTGTGCTGTTAAAGTGATGTAATGGAGCAAGTGGAAGGAAGCACCAGCAGAAATGTGACTGGGTGGACCCCAGTGGTTTGGGATTTGGACCTCCTTATCATTAACAAAATAGTAAATCAGCATTTGGCCCATCGGGCCCCACTATTCCTAGAGTAAATCAAATACACCTGTATGTGAACATGTTATGCTGCACCATTGACTGAAGCTTCCTCACTTCTGTCCATTCCCTGGTTAAAGGGGCTTAGACTCTTTGCCACCTGCTGTCTCCACCCTTAAGGATCCAATGCTCTGGGGCCCATGAGCTCTCCTGGCCACAGATGGCCATCAACAAGCTCCACAAACTGTGAATATCCATGGAGATGTTTTAGAGAAGTAGCCGTGGATCAGCTGTTAGGCGTGCCTGTTTGGATGGTCAAATAGGGAAACGGTATAGCAGAAATGAGGTCAAGAATATGGGCTTGGGCCAGACAGAGCGTGAGAAACAAACACGAGTCTGAAAAACGGTAATAACTCTGAGCTAGGGAAGCATTTCACTGCAGAAATCACATCACAGTAACCTAAAAATAATTACTAAGACCGTGGGGACTGCCTTACATGTGGAACTTACTTTTTGTTATTTTTCAGATTGCAAAATTGGAGGGCTGGCTCCTAAGTGGGAAAATAAACCTCGCAAAGTAGTAATAACTGCAAATCTTTCATTTCCTATGGAAAGCATTAGTCACCTATAAATATGGTAGCTCACTCACTCCCCCCTTCTCTCTCACCTCAGAACACCTCAACTATCTCTCTCTGAGGCAGTGGTGAGGAGCAGGAAAATATAAATGTTCCTACTTCTGGCTCTTATTTATTCTTTTATTGAACAAATATTTCCATTAATACAGGGCTAGTCTTGCTGGGAAAAGCAAAGTTATATTAGGCCACCCCCCAGCCTACCAGGGGCATGTGCTTATTAATAAATGGAGATGAGCCATGCATACGAATTATAAGAGCAAACAGTGGGAAGTAATACAATGTCAGAACAAATACAAGGGGCCATAGAAACATGGAGGAGGAAATGATTGTGTCTTGCTGGGCAGTGTGGGAAAGGTGTGCATTGAATCTGAGCCCTAAAGGACTGACTGGATTGGAGCTTTTAAAAAATGGGAGAAAGTGAACAACACAGCATAGTCCCAAGACTAAGGGAGCACAGATCATATTAGAGGAAAGGTCAACAATTCACTGTAATTGGACCTCTTAGTGAAAGAGAATGACAGGCAATCACCCTGGAACTGCCCTCCTAAGGAGGCTTATGGATGGCAGGCTAGAGGCAGTTAGACATAGTTTAGACAATATGAGATCTGATTGTTGCTGTTGTTTGTTTATTTCTATGACATGGTGGTGGGAGTGAGAAGTATTCGCAACACAGCCAGAGACTCATGCTTTCAAAAGGTTCACTTGACCAGAGTGCTTAAAATGGATTGAAATGGCAAGGAATGGGAAGCAAAACAGAATAAAATAATATACAAATAAAAGTTATCTAGAATATTCTTTTCATCTAGTTTAATCACATTTCCTTATTCTTCATCCATGGTTATTTCATGGTTCCAGTGTCATCCCATGTCTGTGTGCTCAGAGCACCTTCTGCCTGTGCAGGTAGCCCAGTCCTCCAAGACCTCCATCTCTACAGAGTTCTAATAATCTTATGAGTGCTCACACATGCCCGTGTTGTACACAGCCCTGAAAACTGCTCTCCCACAGAGACTGTAGAGCCACAATACCTAGTCTTCTGAGCCCAACAGTTCCACTTGGCTCTGCTTTAAGGTTGGCATTCCACCCCCATGGCTAACAATGCCAACACTACCATGGTCTATTGCCTATTAGTCCCCTGTATTAGTAGAAAGAGAACAATACTGCTGGCCACTGCAACAGCCCCAGCTAACCCAAAGTATATCACCACCTTGCTCTTGGTGGACCAGAAATTTGCTGATGTCATAGGTATCTCTGCTAGTGTGTAATTGCAGGCCAAATGCAAGTGTTACAAAGATATGCAGCCATAACCCAGCCTTGGGGGAGATATTTTCAGAGTCACTTCTCAATAGCAGTTTGGAAGAGGTGAGAGGTGATTCCCTTCTTGTATTCTATGCTTACTCAGGGGAAGACCACA